CGCAAGCTAAGTTCGCGTCTTTGGCCGCAAGGGTGCCTCACGCCTTAGGCAATTCCAGCTAAGGTCGTGACAGTACGGAAATAATTTCATTCAATCGGGATTTCCTTCTCAAGAATACATCCCTTTAGATCAAGCATTAAAAAAAAAAATCCCTTCAGCTTTAAAAGGTTCAAGATTCTTTTTTTTTAATTTTTCTTGTTTATCACAATTAATAACTCATCTAAACAAATTGGGGAACAAGATGGCAATTTATGGAGAAAGGCTATATATTCTGTAGTGAATGAAAGAATAGTGAAAAGTTATGCACCTCGACGAAAGACTGCTACCATTCAGGGAGGAGAGGCAGTCTAGGTACCCCACTTTGTGAACTCTCTGTATCACCGAAACTTCTTAAATCGTCGAGCTCAATATTCTCATCAACAACTTGACCAACGGATTTCTTTTCTCCAATGCCAGCCAGGAGGGGAAGGGGAAAGATTCTTAGATAAACACCAGGCTCTTGGCCCACCATCTCCCACTTGAGTTTGTACTTCTTGATCAGGTCTATCTGAACTGGAATGATATGTGGTGGTCTTGGGAGAAGCTGTACGGACTTCCCTCGTGGAATCACAATTTGTTCGATAGCCAGTCTTGCTTCCTGAAAACAGAAAACTAGTATGATGGTGTTCAGGATTGTAGTGCATGCGTGTTGACTGACTCAAAAGAAGCTGAATTTGGAGGAAATATATAATAGAAATTTCAAAAAAAAAAAAAACCTCTAGAGCATCAACCATCTCTGATGAAGTTGCTTCATGTTCTGCTTTATGATATTTGGATACATTGGCATGTTCATTAACAAGGGCACCTACAGCCTTTGTAATCTGTACCAAAGAGGTTGACTACAAGACACAAGCATCCATGAGACACAAGCCAACATGGAAAATAAGTTTACCATAATCTTGTACCTACCTTTGTGACAAAGATTGGAATGTCGCGAGACTTGGCAACTGCCTGAATTTGGGAGTTCTTTTTGAGTTTGGAGGATAAGGCAAGAAATGCATCTGCTTCACTTATATTATCAGTTATCTCAATCATTTCATCAATTCCCAACTGTTTTAGTGCTTGTAAGATGCTTGATTCCATGATCTAGAACAACTGTTCAACCAGTTAGTTCAAAATTGAACTATTTCTAAATATGTCTTAGATACAGACAACAAATTTATCAAAATCAGACTTGGGAACAACTACTACTTACATGTAACAACTGTATATACAAGCATTCAAACAGATGCACACCTCCAACCACTGCTTGCATATTTGATTTTGGCTGCTATTTTCATGCATTTACAATTGTAGGCAACCAAATACCCCTAAAAGCTTATCATATGGTACCATGTCCATGTCAGACATTGGCACTTGTAAAGGACTGGCACAATTTTAGGTGCTCCACAACATAATGTGACACGTGTCACCTAAACTTATGGGTATTTTACTTACTGTGATGTTGAAATTATAATTAATGTTTGGTAAATAGGTTTCAAGTATTCTTATACATGGTTGTTACTCATGCAAATGACTGTTTATCTTTATAAGTTGCACCAAATGATGATCTTCACCTGAATTCATGATTATATATAAATTTACTACACTTGCTGATTCCCAATTGCGTGTTTTGTTGTGTCTCACTGTCACTGTCAAAACATGTGTTGACGTGTCTGTAACATGTCACATCCTAGTCATGCTTGACAGGTCAAGTTCTTGTCGAAACTCAAAGTGATAGCAAAATAAGCAAACAGTTGTAGCCAAAAAAAATTGTCTATGATATAATACTAGCATATATGCCAGTGTTAAATGCAAGGAGAAAAGCCAAATGTGGCTCTAGAACACGGCTCTTTAAATATGACACGGTCCTATAGAGATTTGAGAAAATAATTTATGGCTAAACATTGTCTTTATCAACCACGTTGTAGAATACTCTGGCCAAGACATTCGCTACTAAAGAAACTCCCGAAGGATGGTTCTTGGATAGGACTTTCCTCTCATCCAAGAAGGTCCATCCGATAGCCTATTCCCATTGAAACAAAAGATCCGAAGTGTTGAGGCAAATTGTTTAAGAAATTGTTTCTTTATTCACTTCAGGTTATTCCCCTTTCTATGAGCACTATTCAGTTTGCAATTATAGCATTCTGACCATTGCCAACCGTGGTCATAATTCATGAATCACAAAACCAGCACAGATACATGTCGCACAAAGGCATTCCTTAATTAACATATTATATTCAGTTAGTAAATGTATATAACTTAAAACCTTTTTTGGTGACTTGTATACAAATTAAAACAATGAACGTCAGTTTCATGGTTTTTGTAACTCTCATCGTGATCAGAGTTCACCAAACACCATATCCTAGAAAATGGCATCCATTACTTGATTATTTAGATAGATACATAGATTTGTTGATAAACAAAGAGATGCTGAATATAATTAGGACTATCAGCGAGACATAGATTTGTTTATGAGTAATGAAGGATTCAGCATGCATGATATTCAACTTGGTTATTGAAAAATCATGGTGTATGTAATTTAAGGGAAAAATAGCTTGCTTAGAGATTTCTGCAGGATGACTGGTGGCATCAAAATCAACCTAGAGCTACAATTTCAAATGATAAAAACAATTTAAATAATGAGCATATTTTATAAGTCGGTAAAAACAGTCAAAAGAATAAGAACCACGAAAAGTAGAACATAAAGCAATTGAGTCAAAGAGACAGAATGTGTACCAGTGATCCTTACCCCATAAACAAAGAGGTGGAAATCTCTTCCAACTTTATGAGATATATCAAGCTCTTTTTCCTTAAATTCAATAGTAGGCATGTTGTTGCACAACTTTTGACTAGGAATTAGAAGATCATTCTCGACCTTGCTTTCTTCTTCCTTCAAAGTGAAAATATTGCCAAGAGATTCCTTCTGCAAAGGAAGGGTTTCAACTGTCGACTCTTCGATGTCCATCTTGCGAATTTCAAAATTTGGAGACCGGCCTATGTGAAAACAAAGAAAATAATCACAGGATATTGAACAAGTGAAAAAACAAAGAAAGTGTTTTTTCCTTTTAAAAACAAAATGGCCCAGTTGAGAGAACCACAAGTGTGACTTCTGACAACCTGCTAGAAGAGCATCCACTGTGGCTTCTAAACTACGATGGACTCGTACTTCAGTCTTTGAGACAATCTCTGCACCAAATGTAAATGTTGAAGGTCCTTTTCGCTCCAGGACAGTCTTCTGGACACCTCTTCTGCTAGCCTCTTCATCACCTAAAGTAACACTCTTAAGGACAAAAATCACCACAAGAAGTTAGTCTCAAAAAGTCAGCCTAACTAAGAAATATCATTAACAAAACATATCTGTCTGGCTAGTATGCTAATAAATTGAGGAGGACAATTTTGTTCGTAAGAACTAGAAGCACATAGAGAAAAGGTAAGTAGACAGATTAGAGAAATAACAGAACTTACAGAGGAGACACACCAAGGTCCTTGGCCAAATAAAAATTTATCTATCACTCATTAAATTAAATTAATCACAAGAAACTATAAGGCCAGAATAAAGGGATAACTTTTCCTGGAACAATTCATAGTCACAAAAATACATAAGGAACTTCTAAGACTCTTCAAATCAAGACCTAATTGCTAAACAAATATTCTAAATCATAAAAGGAAAAAAGGTGGCCAAATGTATGAGGCTCCTGTTAATACAGGATTTGGCAAGATCCGGTACACCTGTTTCAGCAACTTAGATAATTAGTCCATGTCCTTTAAAGATGTTTGAGCAAAGCAAATGTGGAGACTAAAACAGCAAGCTTCTGTTACTTTATGACCTTAATTATTTATTTTTTGGGTAAACATAAAAGCTATTGACGGAGATTGGAAGGGAAAAGGCATACTTGTATTCCCCCCACAAGCATCTCTAAAGAAGGATTCATGATCAAATTCTCTATTGTTACTCCATGAGCAGTGGCAACAAGCTGGATACCACGTTGTGCAATGGTACTAGCAGCTACCGCTTCTAGCTTAGTTCCAATTTCATCGATCACAATTACTTGTGGCATATGGTTTTCTACTGCTTCGATCAACACCTGGTTGCCATGGAGACGAACAAATACTTATTAGTATCAACCTTAATACATATGATTAAGACTCAAATTCTAAACTAAGACATGCACTTATAGAGATTAAGAAAGAACAAATGTCCCGCGCCCCCCCCCCATTTGATCTGAGCTGCATGCTAAAAAAATTCTTGGTCTTTGACCTATGATGTTTTACAAATTGATTGATGCCAACCTAAGGCCATCTACAATTAACAAGCCATGATGGTCTATCATAGTACCCGGTCAAGCATGGGAACCCACTGTTGAACATAATAGAACAAAGATGTCAATGCCATATGTATGAGACCATGTCGATGCCTGTTTAGTGCTAAAACCTATGTACGAGTCAGGTGTCAAGAAATGTAAAATCTCATATGAGGGTGACCTTTTGCTATCTTCATACTGCTAAAGATGCATGCTCAAGTCCCTGGAAACTTAAGTTAATAAAAGAATGTCAAACTAAAGACCTCCTGCAACATTTTCAACTCAAAGGAACATCATGAAACAAGTCGAAATCATAATTGGCCAACCATAAATAGACCAAGACCTTTAGTTGCCAACAATTTTCTAATAATACTCCTCTTTCTAAGTGAATGGCAAAATATATGCTTTGATTTTAACTTTTGGTGTATGTATCTTAATCTTGAATATGAAACCCAAATACACTCATCAAAGCCAACAAAATTAATAATATAAAATAATGTTGAAATTTGATGAAGGAGCTTCATTTTTTTCTTAGATTATTAGCTGAATTTTAACTTAGATTGTTTGTTCATGAGAAATGTTATCAGGTTTCTCATTAAAATATTAACCATCTAGGCTTCTGTTTTCCTAATGATGCTTCTCCATCAAGCTCATAACAGTAAGATTTGTTTTTCACATGGTTCTTATTATTAATCTGTACCGGTATATCAATCAGTTGTCGGTACAGTACATACCGAGTTGTACCAAGCAAACCAACACATGGTACACTAGGGTTTATAGATGTACTGTTCGTATCGGTCCTCTGTCAGACTGGTACATACCACCCGTATCGAGCGGTACATTTCGGTATGTCAAACCTTAGTTTTTCATGATAGTATTAAAAAACCACCACCAACACAATCCTGATCAGGATTGAATGTAAGTCCTAATTTCTTGGTTTTCAGATGGTTCCAATACTTCCTATTCAGGTTAAACCATGCAGATCAACTGATTGCAACAAATCTTTCTTTTGTTTTTCTTTTTTCCTTCTAATTAAATAGAAGTTCAAACATGATTCACATGGCTGTGGCATCCTCTGCAACAAAAGAAAAATAATTATAAAAAACTGCTACAAACACTAATAAAAAATCAGTATGTTTATTTACTTCATCTTCAATAAACGATACAGATTATACAACAAATAACTTTGACAATGGAAGATATCAACAAAAAGGTGTTGATCCATATTAAGAGAAGCATATTAAGGCCTACAAAAAGTTACTCTTACTAAAATTTGCAACTGTACATGAAACATGCACTGCCACTAGTGAAATTAGTAGACCTTGTGTTGCATGTCAGGGTTGGGCACTTGCAACCTACGGGCACTCCCTATCCCAGCATGAGGAATGTCACCATCTCCACCTATCTCATTGGAGGTGTCAACGATCATGACCCGTTTCTTGTAATCATCTGCAAGCATCCTTGCTATTTCTCTGTTAAAGTCAGTCAGGTAGATGATAAGTACCCAAAAAAACCAATGCTTTTGCGCAACTTCCATGAAAATTTCAATCTGTGGCATACCAACAGATTCTTAGGCTTTACAAAAGAAATTATGTTTGTTGACATGAATTTGGGGCTGTACGGTCTATAAGTTCACATACAACATATTCAATCATTTTGTAATCTTGAAGAACAATTTTCTTTAACTAATGCCTTATCTTGGTTATAATGGACTTCAACTAGCTTTGGAAGAAGGTAAGATTAATAATAAGAGTTTGTCTTCTCGGATCAAATATATATATCTCATTTAATTAGTGAGCTAATTCAACACCTATGGTTACCATCCATCTCTTCCCCCTATCTTCTCCCATCACCCCTTCCAGAATGTGATTCGAACCAGACAGCGACACCGTCTGAAACTAACCACAATAGTTGAGATGCAATTTGAGGTAGGCCATAAGCAACTTGTTGAACATAATAACTGATCATTTAGATCCATATACTCATAATATATTAAGTATCCTCATCGTCTCCATCAATTAGCCACCTTCTGAAGATGTCAATCAGCAACAGATCGATGATGGCCAGAGATTGGAATAGCTATGTTTAGACTTTAAAGGAAAGGAAAACAAACCAGAAGTGACAAAACACAGAAAAATAATATCAAACACCTCTGACCATGGCCTGCTATTGGCAGGCTGCAATAGTGGTGCAGACAACAGGTGACAACGTGCCATGACTACATCTAATCCCCATCAGTTGATAACACCACAACTCCACAAGCTAGTGGCTACATCTAAGCCCCATCAGTTGACTACACCACCAGCTTGTGGTGGAAACACAGAGTCCCAGCGTGCAACCACAATGGCAGCAGCAATGATGTCATCGGCCACAAATGGTGTCAGCTTATGTCCTTTAGGTGTTTGAATTTGAAAAGAATAAGGAAAAAAAACATTGATTCTTTTCATCAAAAAAATATTGTGTCTTCTTCATAAACTAAAAACAAGTCACCTAAATAGATTGTCAAATCCCATTGGATCTTTTTTTTTTTTGCTTCAACAGATCCTCTTATCTAGTTTTCTTCCTCTCTAGGAGTCCAAAATCCAAATACAACAAAAGCAGACATGCTAGAACTCCAAAATTCTTTGATAAGAAGAACCTAAAAATTATGGTGACTTAATAACCTTTCCCAACTAAAGTAGACTCTAATCTCAACAAGCCATCTTTAATACAAGGATAAAAAGAAGTTTTGATATCTCAACCATTTGGAGTTGACTATATGGATCAGTTCCCACCACTGAGCTCTTTTTTAGGTTAATATCAAAATTAGAAAGGTCATTTCAATCCAACGAACTAAACAAACTACAAACTCAACGTAGACCTAAATTATCAGATCATTTGAATCAGATTGCATTGATTCTTTAGAACTTCGATTAGTTTTCACGGTAATGCTTCACTTCCTAAAGTCAGCCATTTGGTGTCCATAACATGATTTCTGGAACCCTAACGTTCTATACTAAGAGAAACAAGACCTGCTCTACCTAATTGCATGAGTCGGAAATAGATGAATGTGAAACCTGATGACTGTGGTCTTGCCGACTCCTGGAGGACCTATAAGTAACAGTGAACCCCCATCCTTCACCAAATCACGCAGCAGATTGGCACTGCCGGTGACTGATCGGCCAACCCGGCAAGTGAGTCCAACGATGGAGCCCTTCCGGTTCCTGATGGCGCTAATCCGGTGCAACGTCCGACTGATGCCCGCCCGATTATCCGCGGCAAAGTCGCCCACCTGACACCGAAAGAATCATTCCCATAACATCGGTTCTTGACCCACTTGCTTCTTGATTCTTTCTTGGGGAAATGGAGGAGAGGGCAACCTGGGAGGCGGCGTGGTGGAGTTCCTGGGAGGAGATGGGGCAGTCGGAGAGAAAGAAGTCGCCGGAGGGGAAGCGGGCAAGGGGCCGCCGGCCCAGGTCCATGACGATCTCGACGAGGCGGCGGAGCTCCGGATGGGCCTCCGCCCGCCTCCGCATCTCCAGCGGGAGGAGGACCAGAAGACGGCGCAGCTCCTCATCGAACCCGTCGTATTGGTCGGCGACGTCGTCGCCGGCGGCGGGATGGGGAAGACGGCGCGGCCGGCGCGGCGGCGTAGAGAAAAGGGGCAATGGAGCGGGGAGGCTACGGGACGGAAGCCGGAGGGAGAAGAATGAGAGGAACGGCGGGAGGGAGCCGCGGGTGCGGGCTTGGGCGGCGACGGAGGACAGGTGCGGATTTGGGCGGAGCAGCAGCATCGGACGGTTCGAGGCCTTTGCTGCGACTTGCGATCTGCGCGGCGGTGGGAGGCCCAAGAAAAATAAAAGAAACACGGAAACTCAACCTCTGGTTTTTGTAATAATTGTAAGCCGTCTGATCTCTGACGGACGGTCGTCGCACCATGAGGCTTTAGTGAAAGCTTATAAACGGGATTGCGAGCCAATGTTGAGGCCAACTCTACTCGACAGATCGCACCAAGGGATCACCGGTTCCGGAACCTTACGCTTCGATTCCATGCTTCCTTCTGCAGCTCGTACATTGGCCACGAAGAACCTCAACGGAGGAGCCCAAAGCGACCTCACGCACCGTTGCCGCCGCCCACACCTCCAAACAAAATCAAAGTAACATGCCTCTCTGTCGTCGTCACCCGCCTCCTTCCCGTGCAGAACTTTGGACAACACAACCTACCTACTGCTCTCTGCAACGAGTGATTGCCTATGTGACAGTCCAATCACCACAGAGACGTAGGTCTGTAACGATGCAGAGTATCCGTCGAGTGGAAGCTCCCCAAGAGTACCGTCTCGGTGGTCTAACGATTACGAGGGGTCCGGCACTTGAAGATGAACTCGCTTAGACACGATTGGCTATGAATGGGACTCGGATGACGATTATTAATCATATAACACACACACCGATCCTCCTCTGCTCCCATCAGTCCCTCCTCCACTCATCTTCCAGATGGCTTTGCGTGGGATGAGGGGAGACACACATTATTATATGTGTGTGAGATTTCGTCATCAAGCTTTGGATATGACCTCTCCGAGAGTTGACAGAAAGCAAGCTGACGAAGAAAGAAATGGCGCTGTCGAGACAGATTGGGTGATTAACGTAATGGTCTGCTCTTTATGCCTGGAATGTCGCTGCCTGGTTATGTAACCAAAGCCAGCAGCAGTTTACACTTGGTTACAGAGGGGTAGCTCAAAAGACCATGGTGGGAGAAAGGTGACGTCTCTTTCGGCAAAGCAATAAAGGAGCGAGATAACGAAAGCTGTAAGTGTCATCGTCTGAAAGGTAGGATAGGATTGAACAGAGACGAAGATGCTCTTGTGAGATGATATTTTGTGGCTTTGTTCGTCTTTCCAACGGGAGCTCATGTTGCTGCTGAGATTGGAGGTTTGTCTTCTAGGAGATAGGTTCACCTTGATCTTTTGATCTCTCATGCCTGCTTGTCCTTGGCAACCTCTCCCTCCTGTTGCCCATCTGTGTCACCGCGTCCTTGTGCTTCTGTTCTTCGTCCTTCAGACACTGTGTCGACAGCGGTGTGTGCGGTGTTGGTCGACTGAAAGCTCGAGTTTTGGTCTCGGCGATGTAATTGAGAGACTCGGTGGCCAAGACTTCTCGAAGAGGAAGTAAGACGGAAGAAACTACCGCTGCCAGCATCACGTGCAGACCACCACCAGCAGGAGCAGCAGGAAGTGGAGCGGAAGATCGCGTCCTCATCGGTTGCCACGGCTTCGACTTCCAAGGAAGCCCATCTTTCGGAGAAGATGGGGGAGGGCCAAAACCACCACGGAGGCCTCGGCTTCCGCCAACTTGCTGTCCATGACCGCCACCAGCAGCGGCTGGCGCAGCCCCGCTCGGGATTTGGAAAGCTGAGGGGCGCCGGCGGGGAGATTTTGGAGGAACATGGGGGTAGCATTGTGCGGTCCACCGGCCAGAAAGACTGCCACAGCAAGGTGTGCACCGCCAAGGGCCCCCGCGACCGCCGTGTCCGCCTCTCCGCGCACACTGCTATCCAGTTCTACGACGTGCAGGACCGCCTTGGCTACGACCGCCCAAGCAAGGCCGTCGATTGGCTCATGAAGAACGCTAAGGCCGTCATTGACCAGCTCGCCGAGGTCCCAGCCTGGACCCCCACCTCCACCTTGACCGCTGCCATTACCTCCACATCCCGTGTACCTCCACCATCCAATCAATCCCCGGTTGCTGAACCAGATGTCAGTAGTGCCTTCAGCTTTGGCGGTGGTGACGGTGGCGGCGGCGGTAGTGGGAGTAATTGTCTTCTCCAGCCATCGTTGGACTCCGATGCCATTGCCGATACCATGAAGTTCTTCATCCCGATGGCTGCTACTGGCACCGCAACTTCACCATCCTCCAGCTCTCCGATCCGCGTCCAGAACTACCCGCTGGGACTCCTGCCGCGATCCACCACCCAAACTCAAGACCTCTGCCTCTCCCTCCAATCATTCCAAGATCCGATCTTTAACCAGAACCCAACTCCGTCCGCTCATAATTCTCTACTCGCTGGCTCCGCCCGCTTGGGTTTTGACCACCCCGACTCTGCCAGTTGGGCCGAACACAAGCAGCGAATGGCTCCATGGAATGTAGCGGAGACGAGCGACGGTGTTGGCCATGGAGGATTTCCTTTCAGCGTTCCACCACCACAGGCGGTGCCGACGCACTCGGTGCTCTGCCCGAGCCAGTTATTCTCTCAGAGGGGGCCCCTTCAGTCCAGTAACTCGCCTTCAGTCCATAGCTGGGCAGAACCCATGGCGGCCAACGCCGAGATCCAGATGCATCCGGGGCTACATCACTCTGTTTCTTCCTCTACATTCCAGCACGGGTTCAGGGCGTAGAGGAGCATGGCGGCATCTCCAACAAGCTGCGCTCTGTTTCCTCTGCTTCTCGCCATCGATGCAGTGGAATGAAACAACTAGACCATCTCCAATTACTACGGCTGAAAATTTGCGATCTTTGCGTTATCCATAGAACTGCTTGGTTCGTGGCAGAAAGTGAAGCCGAGCAACAACATCGCCTACATCTGCTGGAAATCCATGTCTTCGGTCGGTTCTTTTCTTCTCTCTGTTCCTTGTCCATTGGTTCCTCTGCCTTGTTAGTCTCAGTTGTAGTCGTCTTTGTTGTTGTGATGTTCTGTAGTCACCTGGCAATGACTTAATAGATTTGTTCTGTTCTGTCCAATAGTTAATGAATAAGCTTTGATTGGAAGTGCAAAAGGAGCAGCATTCATGACTGCCCCCATCCCAATTTAGGATACCGAGGACAGGTCTCTCTCTCTTTTCTTGGTATAGAACATGGCACGGACAAGAAATAGCATCCAACCTTAACGCTGCTTCACATGGAGTCAAAATGCATATTACACAGTTCAGTAGTCTACACATACAAAGGCAGAATGGCCTATTATTCTGCACATCAAACGGAAAAGAATCCCACAGACTTTGCTGCCACTCGTGTTTGCATTCATTGGCTATCGAATGACGGTGAAGCTTACGGCTGCTGTTCTTGCTTCGTCGCTTTTGTACTCCTGGTTCTCGGGCGAGCAGAGCTTGCAACGTTGGTGGTGTTCGACTCCTTGCTCGCTGCTGCTTCTTCGGATGGCTTAGATGGCTTCTTCGTGGATCCTTGTGCTTTCTGACCTGAAGGGCTGGCGTTCTTACCTGCTTTGCTGGCTGTCTTGGCCATGGAATGAGATGAAGGCCTGGTCTCCCACGGGCGAGCAGCAATCCACCTGTCCACCCAACTCCACTCCCAGTTGCCTTTTGCGAGCTCGTACACGAATGGCCCTTGGCTCACCCCAGAGTTCACCCTCCACTACAGATGCAGGACAAGTGCGTTAGTCCTACAGCCATGCTTGCCTTCAGCAAGATCCTCTTCAACAACAGACCTGGTGGGAGAAGGCATACGCCATGGCTCGCTCCCGCTTGACTGCTGCTTCTTCCCTTTGTTGTATCCTGGCAACGATTTCTTCCTTCGTCTCGGAGCCTCCGTTCCATTCCAACTGTGAGGAACTCGAGATGATGAGATTATTATGTTCTTCTAGATGTGACGCAGAGGTCTAGGATTTCTCGGTCAACTATTTTAGCTGCTATCAATCATTCATCCCTGAAAGAAAGGAACAAACATAGGGATATGAACTTTACCGCAAGATCATGAAGCTTGGCCTCAAGTTTCGACCGGTTGTCATGTTTCTTCTGCCTGAAGCGGCCTTCTGCCACCATATTAGCACGTCGGGCTCTGATTTCTGCTTGCATTTTGCTCCAGGACTGGACATGGCTCCAAGTGTTTGATGCCTGCTTCTGTACAGATTTGCGATGGGTAAAGGCTTGCAATCTTTGGACTCTCTTCAGACTACGGAAAGCTTTCCTTGCCTGCAAAATGGCATGCCATGATCGATGTCCACACCGATAAGATTCCTGTAAATTGGTATGAAAACTAGCATGCCTTGAATCCTCGGAAAGCAGTTTGGATTCGAGTAGCAGCAATATCCTCAGAAGCCATGCCATCAGCACCACCAAATAATTTACCGGGATCTTTACGAGACTGACCCTTCAACTCGAACCCATTGGATTGCTGGTTGGACGAACCCTGTTAACAGCAAGAAGTCCTGAAGAACAACATCATTATCTACTTAGAAACATCACCTTGGGATCTATTGTTTACTTACCGTAAGTTTCTTTGCCCCATCTTGCTTTGCTTTCTTCCGATTAATGATCGTCTTTAACCAATCTCCAGAGCCCATCCTCTTGAATGCACTCCAATTTTAGCTCTAAAGCTTCCAACAGAAGACCTGGAAGAAAATTATCAGTGTTATTATAGTAAGAAACTTTGATTAAGGTACGTCAATGTAAGATAAGAACTATGTCATGCCAATATGAGAAGAGCATGATTGACTCTGTTGTCATGACAGAAGATTTATAGGGGCAAGGGACAATCAAATAATTCAAAGCCATGAATGAAGCACAAGGCCACAGATCAAACAAGAACGGAGAACATGTGGATCACAATACCTTTAATCAGAAATCCCTTGCGATAGAAGAAGGTCGCACCCACGCAAAGAGAACAAGTTCCTCAAAAGTGTAGGGGAGGAAGAGAAGGTTGAAGATGACGAGGAGCTTTCGGGATAGGAGGAGTCACTATGGCAGCAGATACAAGTCGCCAAGGTGAACCAATGCAGATAATAATATGCGGCAAGGGAAGGGAAACAGCGGGTGGGGTAGAGGTTGAGAGCAAACGCCATGGCCCAGCACAGAAGCAGCAGGAAGTCCTCTCTCTCTCTCTCGCTCGCTCGCTCGCTTGCTCGCTCGCGTCTGTTGACCTCCATTTCCTCCCTTCTTTCGGAAGGGCGCCACCTTCTCATGGATCCAAAGATCTCGACGGGAGTACAGCCGCCGACACCCACTTCAATCATTGCCGCGGAAGGTGGTGGTTGTTGTTGGACTGAGGAACCCGACGAAGGGAAACAGAGACAGGACAACCACCATGCAGCTGCGTCTCCGTGGCTGACGACGCTCTTTGGTTGATTGGTTCACATCATACTATTGTCTTCGATCCCCAAAGCAAACTTTGATCTGTCAAAACTAAAATAATGTGCATATATATATAGCCAAATGATTAGAGAACATAGGAACAGTGTGGGAAGGGGTGAAGAAGAAGGTTCGGCCGACTGCGTGCCATCAGATTGGCGTTGAGTTGGATAGCAGATGCCGAGCTGTTGCAGCACAGATTGGCCGTCGATGGCGCCTCGGAATGCGTGCAATTGTGTCTTTAGGATTCGTGTTCCGCCTCGGAATGCCTTTAGATGCGTGAAATAGTTTTTGCGATTGCGGTGCTGCCGAGCTATACGCGTGAAGATTAAAGCTCGCCTCCGTTGCGCATTGAGATGCGTGCAAAGAAGTTTTGTAAAGATACCGAATCATTATATTGTTTTGTGGCACGAAATTAATGAGGATTAAATTATCAATACATGTCTTCATTAATAAGATAGATTTATGTTCATTAATTTTAAAAAAAAGTTAATATAAAATATGATTATCAAATTAATAAAAATTAAAAATAATCCCGACAGGTTCGAACCCACGGTCTCTATTAAACTTGAAATCTTCAACGCATTAATTCGAACCCACCACCAGAACAAGGCGCCGAGGCGGCCACCGCCCGGTGGATGCTCTCGCCTTCGACACCCAACCACTCGGAGGACTCCATGTATTCAACCAATTAATGCTCCGAAGGAGGAGGAAGATTGATGCAATCTACAAGCGGATTGAGAGAGCGCTCAATCACATTTAAAACAGCACTTCTCCTCTACCATGCTGCACTGATCGGCCAGTGGAGAAGAAGACACGCTTCCCTGCATGTTTGGAACGTAGAAACGGAAACGTTTCAGGATCCATGATGTCGTGTGTATCAAAACATATCCTGTAAGTCTTTTGTTTTGTTATGTGATATGTTCGCATACCGACTCGTCGCCACCAGAAACATGCGGTCACGTCGTCAACCAGCGTCCCATTGGTAGAAAGTGTTTCCTCCTGCAACTTAAGATGAATACGACGACCAAAATATTTAGTTGCTGTTCTCTGTCACCCGATAGGTACAGAGATGAAAGAGAGGAGGGGAATCAGTCATTCACTGAATAATGATCATTTTGTCTGATGTGTAAAATTAGGTGCACTGACACTTACTGATTTCGAACTAGGAGAAGACTTGTTGTTGGTGTTGGACGTGAATTCACCATTTAGGATCCCGATTTCAAGTATTTAGTTGCATATGCAACACCCAAGTGCCTCCAAAAAATAAGATATGTAAGCTTCATAAAGTGGAAGGTGCAAATGTGTTGGTTACAAATATCATAGAGAAGTCTTAGCTGACAAGAAAGCATCACGAAACTATGCAAAGTCAAGAAACAAGCAATTGTCTCTGATGAAGAGAAAGAATATCATATGCATGAAAATGACGAAGTAGATGAGTTCATATCCAAGAACAAGCTCTTCACTTCCACTAATTACCTCACAGGCTCAAGATTATCTTCTCAAAACCCAACTCCAATAAAATGGGAACTTTGATAATGTTTAACATAGTTGCTATACTAGATTTCAAGAGAAAAACACATTACCACACAGATAAGCACACGAACATGACTTCAGCCTGAAAATTTCTCCATCTGGTGGAGGGTATTTGATATAGGAGAACTACCAGAGTGAAGGTGAGACAAATCGCCTGACAGTCCCTACATATGGAATCTAGGATTTGGATTTTCCAGCCTGTAGTGAATGAATCCTCTGTTGTAATTTTAAGACCTGCAAAACATATTGACACTGTTATAAAAGATAGTAAACCATCTAGAAGTTTCAAGTGACGGTTTATCCGATGAACTATTCTAAGCAAGCATACACCATCAACTTGGTTCACCATGATCAACTTTGATATACTATGCCAAGTGAGGATGCTATTTCTTATGAGTTACTCAATTTCAGCAAGGCCCCTTTGTGCGGATCAATCGTTCAGAGTCCAGAATTGTCTATGAATCGCTTAGGAACAGCCAGGGAGCGTAACAAGTTCTCGAACTTCAGGCCCTCTTTCATTGTGAACAATGTGAAACCCATCAAATTCTGTAATTTGTAAACTTATCAACTACCAAGCATTTATGTAGTGTAATGCTAAATATACATCAATGACCCGAGGCTTGATGTTGCCACTGGTCAGGAATCACATATATTACAGCAGCAGACCCATATCAAGCAAAACCATGTCAAGCAATCACAACTTCAAATTTTAAATTACATAACTTGGTTTCAAAGTCTTACAGATCACCGTTGGAAGATGTGCTATGCAAACCAAGATCCTAGTAACAGGCAACTTTAATATGCACAAAGGGACTTCAGAATTTTTGCGAACTGGAAGATTTCTAGAAATTGCAATCCTTAATATTTGAAATCGCGATTCCTAATATTAGAATGACAACCTCCATCAATCCATTTCCTGCTATATTAAGAAATATGCCACCATTTCATCTCTACAGAATCTTAGCAAATACAGTTCAGAACTTTTCTGCTTCACATATATGTTATTTGCTTCAAGCTACATAGCGCTGAACACTGACCTTCAGGCTTCACTGTGATTCCATTGCCATCACCTTTACCATTTGAAGATTGTAGTTCTCAAGCTTCTTTTCAAGAAAATGGATAATAAATGAAGAAAAGGACAACATATGACTCCTGCATAATTTTATTCTGGTCCAGAACATACATGTTTGCTAGAATCAATGGTAAAGGTAACAACAGTCACCTAATAGCTTTCTTTAACCTGGTTGAGCACATGACCCTTATCTTCTTTACCTTGATCTTTTTTCATCCTTACTGCAGCTCCTTTCTGAAGTTCAATCATTTGATACCAACATTTTGATGCTTCTATATATCTTCCAATTAAAACCAAGAATAAACCTTAAACAAACTTGTTTATGTAGGATCTATAGAACACCATCCCCCAAAAACCAAAAATCCAAATACTAAAGTACATTCGATTCTTCTGATAACTCGAAATTTTCATAACCCTTGTTCGCTTCAAGGAGCCTCAGGTTGACCAAATCTGACAACTTTGTGTTCTTATACATCGAAGCCTTTAGAGTTTAGACAATAAGCATCTCAACTATAATGTAGGTACATTGATAGCATGATTGTCTGTGTGCCACATATGAGCTTTGCAGTACATTAACCATCCACGAACAAAAACACTGGCCAGTCCTACAGCCAGAATGGTATGAGGTTTTGCCTGTATACAAAATATGTGCATCACTGGCCAGTTCTCAATTGCAAGCTCAGTGACAGATTGGTGTTTCTCTACCTCATGTTTAACATTACAGGCTACAAATTGTAAGCTTAATGCAACAGTTTTATAAACATCCAAACCGTTCCCCTTAAGCTAGAAGGAAGCAAGCCAACCATATGAATGCTGCTTTACATTACTGTGTGTCTTGACGATATCATAAAACTGATGCCTCGATTTAATTTTATATCCTTAGATTAAATGATTTTTGTGGCATATACATATAACCATCACTCTTTTCCCTCCGAGAACAATGACAATGAGTCCTTATTAACCAATGATAAAAATTCATGGTATAACACATTGCCTTACAAGAGCCAGAACTTCATAGAAACTGATGATGCTATCAATTCTCCGGTCATTTCTTTTGTGATGGACATTCTTTTGCTAAATACTTTTCTTTTCTAGTACGTTTTAATTAATAATTTTAATAACAGTCTCATCAAAGGAAAAAAAGGAAAAAGCTCAATCTTTAGGATATTTTTCAAAAGAAGGTTTCACTGCGCACCGATCAAGGCAACACAATCTTCTAGCTTACAGAAAAGAAAAGGCCTTTCTTAGGTTTGAAAAGAAATGTACTCTAGAAGACTAGATAACAATCATCTCAAGTAGCTGCAGAGACTGCAGCGTGTTGCAACCTAGGTGGGAAAAACAAACATGTAGCAATTAGTTCTGAATTATTGCTTGCTTCACTTATATCTAAGGGGTGATACTTGTATTCACGGGTTCTAACATATAAGAATCGCAAAAGCTCATACCCTTTAAGGCATTAATATACCACAATATGAGGGAGGCTTTATTTATATGCTGAGCAGAAGCATCTATCACATCAAATAGATTTAAGCAACCTTTTCCAAGTAGTAGAACCACATTTGTAAATCAACCACAAGAAACATGAAGCAATAAATTTAGAGGCAACTGTCACTAACCGATTCCTTCTTGCTGTTCTGCTTGTCCTCCAAATCCTGAAGCGTCCCATCAAGCCGTTTACTGCAATGTGATAGACAGCAAACTATCAAAATAAAGCAAGTGCAACCTTAACGGAACTCAATGAAAAGATTAAGCTGGCCATGCTCGACAGCCAGCAGAAAATTAAGAGCAAAAGGAAATGGTGGAACTCACAGTTCGGCCGAGATGTACTCGATCCTTTTACGCACATTGGCGTTGGCTTCGGCGAGGTCCTGCTTCACGAGCACCGGCCCGATCAGCTTGTACACGTTGGAATTCTCATTCAATAATTCCAGTTCCTTGCATGACCACAACCAATTTATTTTCTTAAACATAACGAGCAAAAGAAAAGCAAAACCCTAGGATGACATAACCAGAAGCAAAATAGAGATTGGGAAACAGGGAAACAGGAAAGAGACCTTAAGGACGAGCTCGTTCTCGCCGAGCTGGATGGTGTACTGCTTCCGGACCTGGTGGTTCTTGGCGATGTCTGCAGCGAAGGACGGAAGAACAGGTGAGTCGGGTCAAATAGGGGATACCAAGAGAGAGGAGAGGGAAGTGCCTTTTTGGATCTTGCTGAGGGCGTTGGCCTGGTTTTCGAGATCGCGCTGCAGTTCCTTGACGGCCGCCGGAGACGAAGCCATGGCGACAGAGATCAATTCGTCTTCGCCGACTGAGAAGGGCGGACGGAGGAGGCCTTCTTAATGCGAGTGCTACGGCTGGACATACTCTTGATGCTAAACTTTAAGATTCGTGATATAGTTTGATATGATTGTATCTTAGGGTTGAGCGCCTCATCCATAAATATGGTTATTATGATGGGCCGTTATCCAGCCCAAATCCAAAACCTATTACTGATTAAAAGAATCTTTAATTCGTTGAGCTATATTTGGTGGCACTTGGAAGAACGGAATCTAATCAAATGCAAATTTTCAATTGAATTATGCTTTTTTTACTTCAAATAATAACCGTAAACTTACTAACTGGTTGAGTATGGACACTGAAGAACAAACCGCACCTAACAAGGCGACGAATTGTGAACAATGACCTGTCTGCTAATTTCAACAGAAACAACACGGTCTCGCTATTTGACAAGGTTTAAAGAGAAAAGACCAAAATTGGTTATTTGCCACAATACCTACTATAGAATCCTATTTCAGCGGGTATTTCGCGTACAGAGATCTCACGTCGGAACACATCTCCACAGTGTCTCAAGTTGCAGAGCCCGGGCTCCAAAATAGTTCCTGTTGGGAATGCACAGGGCAACCGTCGAGTTTCCATGAGACCCAATAAAAGCAGGTCCCTCGAGCTCGCATCATCAAGATGTACTCAGGAGGGTTGCTGGCGGAGTTCTAGGCCGAATCTTTAGACCAACTAATCGGAAGAGGATGGGCTTCTGTGTTGAATACAAATTTATCTAGAGGCACAACATGCTCGTCTCCAAACAGCAAATATAGATACTTCAAGGTTTCACCCAAGAAGAATGTCTCCATCTTGTCTCTTTTACGGGGAGGTATTACTGTGACGTCATCAAGGGATGTGTAGCCACCAGAGTCTGCTTTTGTATATTTTTCAAAGGCCTCAAAGATCTGCCAACCCCATTCTCGATATCTGTCAAATGTCACAAGTGCCAGAACCAAGTTAAAGTTCAGAAGAATGATGAACATGCAAGGTAACTAACATCCCAAAACCTCTAAATCTTACTTTGGATCTTCAGTTATACGATGCAACACAAATAAAGATTCCACTGTTTCAGGGCGCAAAAGGTTGTGACGATCATTGTGCTTAATTAATATGTCATCTATATACTCAGAGCTCTTATTACCACCATCGAGACCCCCTTCAGAATCACCCTGATTCAATATGGAACATTCAATCAACAATTTACAATTCTAGAGAGGAAAATGCCAAAAGATATACAACATTAACGAAACAATACTCAGCCATCAGTGACAACCATAAGTTTAACTAGTAGCTTACCTCAACATGGAAATAAGCAATTTCAGGAGCAAGACCTGTAGAAGTGACAGCATACATTTCAAAGCAGGTTTTTGCTAGATCTTCAGCAAGCTTCAAATTCTCCAAATCCTCTGGGGTCAACAAATTTCTTTCCACTGCTTTCTTCCTTGTAATACCTTTTGTTGCACCAAGAGCCAAGGTTCCTGGTAGGAAACAAACCTTCAAAAGGAAGAAAAGTACATCACATATCATAATATGTGATTCAAATGTAATATAAATTGGATGTTCCTAGATATTTGGCTAAGAAGTTTCCTGATTTTTAAGTTGTGGGCAAGGCAATCATATAAAGGCGATAGTTGATAATTTATATCAAGCAGAAATGTTTTGTCTATCAAAAAAGTGAAATATCCGGAGCATTTCCTTTCTGCTCCAATGCAAACAGAAATACCATGAGAAAGAAGTAGATCGAGTTTTGGATACCAATAATTTAGTATAAAAGCCAAACAAGAGCTTTATCCATCTGCTACGAAAAAACTGACAGTTTGGATGAATACTGGCACCAACTACTGACAAAGTCTGTGTGACCTTAAAGATAAAGATGACTAATTGTATATTCCAATAATATATAAAATCTGAAGATTTCAACCAACGAAATGCTTCTTTAGATAATTCCACTCATCTGTTTAAACACATTGGTTGGCACACCTTTCTAAATCAACCAACAAAAGAAAATACACAACCAGAAATAAGGATATGGTCAAAATGGATGGTGAAAAATAAAACCTACAGGCATAGGCATGTTTGGAGCAGCACTCTAGTCCTGAATTTAGAACTAACCATAATATCAGCTGCACAACTCCAAAAAAGAAAATTCACTTAAACATGTACAATTCATAGTAGCTAGATCAGCCTATTATGCTTGATTTGACAATCACAGATGAACTTCCTTCGAGACAATTCTTCAATTTGCATTCAGCACTTACTCGTATACTCGAGCAAACTTAAGGATTTTATTCATGATAATTATTATGCAGCAGATAAGGTAATATTCTTCTTCCTCTATCTTGGTTCTATTTACTGCTTTTTACCTCTCCTAACACTGCAAGACCTACCCACACCCCTTCAACCCCCAATGACCCAGGAGTGAAACAAGAAAAAAATAAGAGAAGAAAATATGCAAAAATTCTCTATGCAGTTCATGACAGAAGCTGCTCTATCAATGTATCTAAATTATGAACCCTAACCACCGTTCATCATCAGAATATATTTACCTCTTATCGCATCATGTTGTCACCTTCAATCATTGAAACTGAATGGATCATTGTGTCCTATTATGGTCCTCCTATTAATTATAATTCAACTCAAATTCAACGCTATCCTTCTTTTGCAGCTAAAAAAAATGTATCTGTTTCTAATTCAAACTGCAGCACAAGTCAAACTATAGGAATTTTCATGAGAGGAACATATCTGAAAATTGACACATGCCTGAGATGTCCTAGAATATAGAGACCATCTAAGTTAGATGTCAGATCTCCATTGCAGGATTAGACGTACACAAAGAAGATTTACACCACTCATCTACCATATATATAGAAAAAGATAATTGTGAAAAATATATCTGGCTCATCTACAAGCTTTTTCCAGAGAACAAGCGAAGGAATGTTAGGAATTTAGACTTTTTCATGGATGTTCCACATCATATCTAACAATCTTACATCGGGGAAAATTTGATCAAGGAAGTAGTGCCCAGGTATTTTTCTTTTATATATTATTTGGATATTGCAATTTCTGAACAAGTGAGAGAAGCTTTTAATACAGAGACAAATTTGAGCATAAGCAAATAAATATCCTAAAGCAATTAAATAAAATTGTAGACTGAAGATTATAATACAGTTTAATAAAGGCCTTTATTCATAGCACTCTCCACCTGTAAAACTGCACTAGCATCCGCAAGTTAAACAACATATCATGTACCCGAATAAAGATGAGCTTATTATCAATGCCATGGAAAGAGAATGCAAAAATATTTCCATACCAGGTGATCCATTTTAGGGCTAAAAGCACCGTTAGATCCATAAGGAAGCTCCCCAACAAAAACTAATCCTTTGGGAATGGATCTTCGAACTAGAAGGTGCCTCACCCCTCTCATTGCTTCTTCATACATCTCATATAAATAATTTAGATGGCTGCCACTATTCTTTTGCTGAATCCAAACTTTTATCAAGTATTCATAGTAGCTGTCACCACGAGATCCTAGCCGAATATTCTCTCCATTAAACTGACCAGAATGAGGACTGTGATCACAACAAGGACTAGTGATGTTCTTCATAAATTGCATATAATCCAAAGATCAACTAATTACAATAGACGAAAAAAAAAAAAGAATCATCTAACAACAAAAAGGAAAAATGACAATAAAGAATGTAACATATCATTATATTAAATTAGATAGAAAGCATAGCAGTTAAAAATTTTGGCAGTAGTCCTATATCATGAAGCAGAAACTCTAATATCAAAGATGCTCGACATGAAAATGTAAAGAAATTTTCAGCAGATACTATGCTGTTTTGGTGTTTATGCATGGCTCACTTTTCTGATATGGTTTCAGCAGATACTACGATGTCCACCAGTCACCCCTAGGCAAGCAGCAAAGACCAGTAAATGTCTTCTAAATATCGGTAACAGCTGAGTCAACATAACTTAAAGAAAGAAGCAAAATGGACAAGTCTGCAAGACATTGACCCTACTAATAGTCTTAAACAATGCAATGGCTGGAGCCTTGTGCACTTGGCCTCCTTTTATGTATAACATACATATATTACTAACTAGCTCAAGCAATGGCTGAGCTTATCATTATAAAGATTATGAAAAAAATTTAGGTGTCAAACCATTCCTAAGAAAGAAAATAAACCCACAGAACCATCAACCTTGAAATAAAGTTCTTTGTACCTGATATAGATAGGAACCAGTCCTTCCACCTTGGGAAGAGTCCTAAAATGTTCCAAAACCTTCATCGCCTCTGAACCGTACTTGGGATCACCAGAAACTTTACTGAGGTAATTGAACTCAAGCTGCAAGGTTGATACTTCAGACGTACTGCTTAACCCATCAGGAGCAGGATGGGCAGAACGATCATGGAGAACAACATCACTGAAAGGAATTGGCGTTGGACTTGAAGTAAAGGCAGATAACAGCCTGTCACCTAAGTTTTTTGCTATTTCCAAGAGAATATCAGATTTAACTCCTTTAAGAGTCATAGGTATCCCAATGTCACCTGTAGTTACATTATCCCCCCCGCTCAAGTGATAAGCACTGAGAAGACCACCTAACACACGAATGGTTGTCTCAAATAAGTTGACCTGCCCTTTCTTTTCAATTCTTTCCATAAGTTTATTTTCTATCCAAGACATTGCCTCAATAACAATTTCATCAGCACCCATGATAATTGCTGTATCCAAGGAATCTATGATGGTGGCACCTAGACCTCCCAAACCATCAGTGCCTCTTCGACTCAATGGCATAAGTTCATCATAACCCATTGCATAGTCCCTGTAGCCAGACCAAGCATGAATAAACGCCTCTTTGACCTTTTGTTGCCTAGAAACCCAATAGAGCCTCTGTTCTTCAGGACTAGATCTAAAATTTCCCTCTTCATCAGGTGGAAGCTGTGGAGGAAGCCTTGGAGGTTTTCTCCAAATTCTACGTATTCTACTAACACCTTCCTTGACATACTTGTGTTCACCATTTTCAACTCCATTCGAAAGTACATTTGATGCAGAATGATCAGGACTTCTATGCATTACCAAGTATGTCAAACCCACGATCATTAATAACATTAAGAATTTTCCTATGCTACAGCCACCGCAAGAATATCTGATGCGGCTGGTAACCAATGCTTGAGTAATCACCTACAAAGAAAACAAAACATAGATATGAAATGATTGCAATCTATGTCATAGCAACTGTTTAATCACGTAAGTGTTTATGAACTTTATTGTTTAGCTTTGAAACCAACTACCAAGCATACTCGGTTACTTGGAGTAGAGAAAGGCTTGTAATGATCCAGTTAATATCATTGAAGTAGCTGTTGATTCCTTTTGACTAAGAGCATAGATATAAGAATTAAACACCAGGCCAGATATCATATTCTTCATGGTTATAAAAAATTCATCTTATATATTATTAGAGCAAGCAGTAGAAGATCTCACTTACTACCCCTTCTTAGATACAACTTGACTAAAGAAAAAAAGAAAAAGATCCCCATTGTAATCACCCGTTAATCAATTTTCTATTAATTAATTTATTGTAGCTCCAATTTCTTCTACAGAGCATCTAATCTGTCAAGACAACAGATCAAGAACTTCAATTTACAGAACTGAAAAAAAAATCCAATCACTCGAATCAAATTAAACAAGGGGAGAAAAGTGGGAATTTAATTTTCAATCCAAGAACAGATAAGAAAGAGTAATAGAGATACGTATCATTACTCTCTCCAATCCCATGCGTATTTGCATAACGATAAACTAAAAGGTCGGAAACGATAATATGGATCTCAGCGAATTAACAACATATCAAGCACCTCCAGATCTCCATAGAAGATTTAACGAGATCGAGCGAAAAGGAAACCGAGAGATCTTGAGCAGAGAAGCACCTTGAATGGGGATCGGTGGCGGAACTTGGCGTTGTCATAGTGAACATCTTGCACGGAGTAGGGCAAAGATCTGGATGACATGACCGCAGAGGTCAGTTAGGGTTCAATCTACCTTCTTCTTCTCCGTCTCCGATCGCGAGATCCACGCAGCAGAAAGGGGAGGAAGAGAAGGGAGAAGAAGGAGCGAAGAAATGGGGCTGACCCTGGACGAGGGTCCGGAGTGGGGGACGGTCTTATGGGTCTGGGTTCGAGCGCGAGTCTCCTTAATGCCCGTGCTCGTCCACTCGTGTGGGTCCACCCTTTGGGCCCACGTTCCACACCAATAACAAATCAGGTATACGGTCAAAGCGCAAAGTGTTGTACGAGGAGTAAGCCTGTGACTCGACTTACGTTACGACTTTCGACAGGCTGGTCTGCGCGCATGGAGGAGGTACGGGAGGTACGCGATCCCCGTCTGTTGTAACGTCAGTCGTGGTTACAATCGTGACTCCGAACTTTCGCAACACCGAGTTCGTGGCGTTGGGTGTACGTTCTCAAGGCCATAACCATGATGATGATGATGGAACGAGCATGACAATAGTATAACGAAGTAGAATAGAAACTAAAAAAGCACAATAATAGTACATGCAGTAGGATACAAAGGGGGAGGGGGGAGGAGGAGAGGGAGTCCATGTGTGGGTCTTCAGCTCCTTGAGCAGCAGCAATACCCGAACACGTCTCGAGCTGCTACTTTTGTGTGTCTTGCGGACCATCATCAGTAGTCGGCTCAGATGCAAACGGGCCTAAATCTTTGTACTCTTCCCACGATGTCTTCGCCTTGTCGATCAATTTATCCAAGTCTTTGAGATCGTTCTCGATCGAATTTTTCAGCTGATCTGAACTCATCGTCGTCGTCGGCGAATCTGCCAACATCCTTTCCACCGTCAACATCATGTAGATAACAGCCTGCCACAGATACAAACAGGAGGAAGCGTGATCTGTAAGGTCTGCTGCTGCAAAATGCTTCTACTTTCAACTGCTCACAAGCAACAAGTTGATTGAGATGACAAATTGACCTTGAAAAGACAGGGCCTGGCGTCATGCTTAGGTCTGACAGCGCAAATTTGCTCGCAGATATCTTTGGCCTGATGATAGTCTTTCTGCAATGAACGGGTTCATGTTACAGCAGAATATACGATGTTATTATGATGCGGGCAGCAGAATCTTCTGCTCACAAAACTTGAGGCGTGTTTGGCATTACTGGTAAGATCACATTAGTGTGTTCTTTTTTGTCTCTAACTCGTGGAGTTAAAACTGCATCCTTTCTCTCATTGGTTTCCCCTCGCTTGAAGAGGAAGGAAGAAAATGTGATCATAAAACTGGATGAGAAGTATAGAGAATCGATTACCTTCCCGATGTATCTTTGAACTAGACAGATTCCTACATCGTACGTCCCGGCACTTGCAAAGCAATTTTCGGACGAGACATTAGTTGTTCCCATGGCCGAGAGATCCTGCCATCAGTAACAGGAATGAAATGCGTCATCAGTAATAGAACGACGAACTAGCTAGGAAAGTAACAGTACTGATGGCTTCTTGGTGGGAGATTCTACCTTCGTCCCGAATAAGATAACCCGCAGCGCATCGCGTGTCGCTTGCACGGTCATGTTGCAGGGCGTCGACGGATCTTGACTGACGAGCACATTCCTAGGCCCGCCGCCGCCTCCCGACGGCCCTTGAATGGGTAATGACCGGCCGTTGTCTTTAGTGGGCATAGTCCTAAACGTGCTCGGCAACGCCGGAGCGGCAGGTGCGCCGCGCGACAGGCCAACAGCAGCCAAGGCGCAAGCTGCGACGACGGCGACCCCGACCGCCGCCACTTTCGTCACTTTCCGCCCTCCGGAACGGCCCTTTTTGCCTTCGTCCTCCTCGAGAGGCGGTGGCCGCGGAGGAACTTGGGAACAGGATACGCCATGATGGCGGCGCCACGAACGGGGAAAGCTGAGGTGGCGAACGGGTGCAAGGCCACTCGTGGGGTGGAAACCCACGAGGCAGCGCGTCCTCGTGGACGGAGGAACGATCGCGGCACGGAGGCAGAAGATGGCTTCCATGTGTCGCGGAGGTGATTTAGAATTAGCTTCCATGTGTCCAAGGCAATATAGTACGAAGGCGAGAATAAAGCTTTCGTGCTGTTAAGCTACTGTTTCTTTTCTTGTTCTACGGGCAAGGAATGGGCATCCTTTTGCTCAGATACCTCAAGTAAGGTATCAGCCACCGTCTTAACCCCTCATGCACAAATGGACTGCGCTCGTGCTGCCATTTCATGGTGCAACTTGTTGACGGAGACTTTTGTAGCTGTTCATTGTGCCAATGGACAACCGAAGAGCATCAGAACACTGCAACCTTGAGGAAGAAATCGACGACGACTGCTCGTTTCGGTGTACTTTTTTCCCTTCCTCCTTTCTCTTTTTTCTTTGCGTAAGCTATGAAATATTGATAGCGAGATAAAATCATGTCAAGAGTGAAAGAAGATAATTAATGTAATCCTTCGTCAATTTGCCCGTAGGACAAGGATCCAAAATTGATAATTATAAGTTATCGTTTCTTATCACTCACGCGGATAAAAAGCTAATGAAAGATTATCAGAGATGATTAGATATTATCTTCTTATAAAATATTTTATAAAATATTCTGTCCCTTTACGATGATCATGTATAAAAGCTCATCCTCAACGTAATGAAAAATGATTACTTTTTGACTACTCGCATTCATACTCGTCTATCTTGAGCTACTAACTTGGGAAGAGAGATCGGATCAGTAAATCTCTCCCAACATCCATCTTTGTGCATGTGGTACTTCAAGAGCTTGGCTTTTTCACTTCGAATCATATCGGGCTGACCAGGATGTTAACATTTTCTTCTCATAACATTTTTAACACTAGAAGGAGAGCTCAATATCACAAGAATGTTTATATGTTAACCCTCTCAATGAACACTAAAATAAAGAGGTTTTGCCCCTCGACCCATAGCACTTTCACTCAATGGAGGCAACAACCACCATTTTCCACATATTGGTGCATCCACCTCGGCGCAAACGTTGATAGGATACTAGCATCTATTCAACGACCTAAGTCTCTCACTTCTAGGGACAACCCCAAGCCACCTACTCATCCATACTGATATGTTCTTAAATCTCACTCAACAAGTACATATGCTAATAGGCATAATACAGACTATCACTATACTTTTACCCTAGTTAGCCTAACTAGCAATGCCATTAGCTCAGTTATGATCACAGGCTTAACTACTATCGGTACTGACACCCTTCAAGATTCTTTAGCTTGACGTGGTGTCAATATCCTAAGAGCGCTCGAGACTCATCAAATCATCAGCCAAAAGGGCACTTCGATCCTCAACTATGGAATTCAACGGATTACACCACTACTCTACCCTATTTAAATCCGAGGTCTATTTAGTGGATTTGACGAAGAATTCCTTGTGAGTCCAATTATGATAGATAGATCAAGGTTTGGAGAAGATGCGATAAGAATTTCAACAATCCAAAGAGGAAGCACTGATCGATCCCACCTTAGATCAGTCACTGTTCACCCAAAAAATCCATAATGTATCGATTCCAAATAACTTTCACTCCTGTCCTTAGAGACTTTCGATGGTAGTGTTGACCCAATAGAGCATATCATAGTTTTTTGTGCCCAAATAACATTATATGATACTTTGGACATCCTAATATGCTACAACTTTCTGACCATGATAAAAGACCCAACATAAGAATGGTATGCTCGCCTAAATGTCATGGACTTAGCCAGAATTACCTAAGTCGTGAGGTACCCTTGCGGCAAAGATGCGAACTTGGCTTACGTTGCCTAAGTCGTGAGGCACCCTTGCGGCAAAGACGCGAACTTAGCTTGTGTTGCCTAAGTCGTGTTTCGCCCTTGCGATTTGCATCCGCAAAGATCAGCCCACTTGCAACCTCTCACAGGTCCCGAAGGACCAGTAAAAGAGAAAGTTGATTAGTTCGAAGAACGAGCGATGGACAAGTCCCGACGTCTCGCGAAAAGGGGAAGCTTTACAAGTAATTCAGCGAGCACCTTACGTGCACAAGAGAAAAGAGGGAGAGGAGAAAAACAAGGACTTTAGAGGGTTGAACGAACAATTGCAAGTCCACAAAAAACTGCTCACCGGGTGTCGGGCGTGACAACAAGTTCCCGTCAAGATAACGTGCGAACTTGCAAAATATTGTTCAACGCCTGACACTATACCGAAGCCCCATCCCCCATGGTGCCACCTGGGTGGTTCCAGGGTGCTAAGATGGCTGACATTTCGCGTGTAGCAGCGGGCTGCAGAAAACAGCTCATGGCACACAAAAACGGAGCTGTTTTGGGGCTATTTTGCTCGGTTCGGTGAGCGATCGCACTATAGCGCTGCAACTTGTTCAAAATTATATTTTTACAAGCAAAAGGACTTAAAACCAAGCCAAAACATGATGCTAAGCAGCTGTACATGTAGATTAGAGCGACGAACGGTTCGTTGAACGAAGTTATTGCGGGTGCGCGATGACCGTTCGTGACATTCTCCCCAACTCAAACTGTCGACACCCTCGTCAACGCTTGTTGGTAGTTGTTGATAATTGTTTCTTCATGTAGTAGGGCATCTTCGGGGTCTCAACTAGCTTCAGTTCGGGGAAGCTTTCGCCACTTCACCAAGTACTCGGTCTGCTTAGTTCTATTGGATAGCTTTATCTTGCGATCCGCTAAAATAGTTTCAACTTGCTTCTTGTAGGAGACTCTGGTGGGGGGTAGCCGAGTTGAAACACTTCGGGAAGCATCTTGCGGATCCGAGTGGTAGACTTTTAGGTTGCTGGCATGAAGAACATTGTGAATTTTGAACCACGCCGGTAGTTGCAACTTGTAGGAAACGTTACCCACCCTATTGATAATTGGGAAGGGCCCTTCATACTTGCGCACCAATCCTTTGTGTACTTTGTTCCTAAAGAATTAGAGTGATGCTAGTTGGAGCTTTACTAGCACCAAATCGTCGATCTTGAACTCTTGCGACCGCCTTCCCAAGTCTGCCCACTTCTTCATCCTTTTTGTCGCTTTCTCCAAGTAAGCCCGCGCAATATTTGCATTTCGGTGCCACTCCTTTGCGAAGTGGTAGGCTAGCGGACTACTCCCAGTATACCCGATTGCCATGGTATGAGGAGTTGATAGTTGTAGGAGAATTGGGCAATGTCCAACAACTTCACCCAATCTCGTTGGTTGGCACTTATGTAGTGCCAAAGATATTGCTCTAGGAGCGAGTTTATCCTTTCGGTTTGGCCATCTGTATTAGAGTGGAGGCTTGTGGAGAAGTATAACTTGAACCCCAACAATTTGAATAGCTCGGTCCAGAATCGTCCCAGGAATCGAGCGTCTCGATCACTGATGATATTGTGCGGGACTCCCCAATACTTCACCACATCCTTCGTCATCAACTTGGCTGCCTCCTCCACTAAATAGTATAGAGGAGCAGTAATGAAAGTTGCATACTTTGAAAATCGATCGACCACCACGAGTATCGATCCGAGTCTTCCTACTACAGGCAAGCTTAATATAAAGTCTAAGGAAATGCTCTCCCACAGCCTTTCTGGTATAGGCAATGACTCCAAAAGACCCATCGACTTCCGTTGCTCCACCTTATCTTGCTGGCAAGTGAGACACGTTCGAACATATTCCTCTACGTCAGTCCCCATCTTCGGCCAATAGAAGGCCCTCTCCACGAGAGCCAAGGTTCTGTGAATGCCAGGGTGTCTAGCCCAAATGGAATCGTGACACTCTCTTAAGAGTTCACGTCTCAGATTGTCCACTCGAGGGACATAAACCCTATTCCCTTTGGTGTAAACGAGTCCCTCCTGGACCCAAAACCGTAGTGTCTTGCCTTCTTTAATGAGCTGTATCAGGGCTTCTGCTTGGGGATCACTATACAATCCATCCCTGATCCTAGAAAGGAAGTTAGAGTGCAGCTGACTTGCTTGGCCTCTGCCCTCCAATTGTATAGCATTCACACGCTCCACTTTTCGACTCAATGCATCGGCCACGATATTTGCCTTTCTGGGCTTATACTTCATTGTCATATCAAACTCAACCAGGAAGTCCTGCCATCATGCTTGCTTTAGGGAGAGTTTCTTCTGAGTTTGGAAATAGCTTAAAAAGATATTGTCTGTCCTTAGTACAAATCGCGATCCAAGAAGGTAGTGTCGCCAAACTCGTAGACAGTGGATCACCGCTATCATCTCCTTCTCGTGCACCGGATACCGTCGCTCTGTCTCGTTTAGTTTGCGGCTTTCATAGACTACCGGATAACCCTCCTGCATGAGTACTCCCCCAATAGCGAAGTCTAAAGCATCTGTATGGACTTCGAAGGGCTCCCCATAGTCCGGCAATTTAAGCACCGGTTCTTCCAATACAGTAGCCTTTAGATCTTAGAATGTAATCTCACATTTATCAGACCACCTCCAAGGCTGCTCCTTCTTCAACAACTCCATCAATGCAGTTGCACGCTTCGAATACCCCACTATTAAGCATCGATAGTGGTTGACGAAGCCAAAGAAGGATCTCAACTTGGGCACTTTCTTTGGAGTTCGTCATTCCGCAACCGCTTGCACCTTCAATTTGTCCATCCGAATGGAGCCATCATCGATTCGATACCCCAATAATAAGATCTCTGTTTGGGCAAAGTGGCATTTCTCCCTCTTCACGAACAAAGTGTTCTCCCTAAGAACCTTGAAAATTGTCTGAAGGTGCTTGACATGCTCCTCGAGAGTTTTACTTTAGACGACGATATCGTCCAAGTAGATGACCACGAACTTATCCAAATACTCCTTGAATAGCTAATTTATGAGGGTGCAGAACATGGCCGGAGCGTTAGTTAAGCCGAAAGGCATCACTAAGAACTCAAACGCTCCATACCTGGTCACACAGGTAGCCTTCGCTTTGTCGCCTTCAGCAATGCACACTTGCCAATACCTCGACCGAAGGTCGAGTTTTGAGAAATATTTGGCTTTCCCCAACTGGTCGAATAAGTCCGCGATGAGCGAGATGAGATACTTGTTCTTCAC